TGCCCCGGCGCCCCTGCCGCGCGGGGTCGGGAGCCGCTGTGCAGCCTCAAAACGGCGCCGTGGTGAGGGCGGGTTTCCCCGACACCGCGTTTCCATTCGCCCGCGGCTGGGGCCTGGAGCTGGGGCTGTCCTAAGCCTGCCTGGAGCAGGGCCGGCGGGCAGAGAACCTCTGCGAACACTTCTGCCTGGCTTCTCAGCGCCAGGCCTGAGCCAAGGCGTCCTACTGCCCTTGCCCTGGCAGTAGCTGCAAATCCATGTTGACATGGGGTGCAGGGAGAGCTAATAGTCACTGTAAGGCTTGAGCTGTGATTGCAACTAATGCCTGTGGAGCAAAAGAGTCTATAATCTGATCACAGAGAGCAAAGGTTGATTATATTCCATTATATATGTTTTAACATCATGCATGTAAGAGGTCGGCTAAAATTTACCCTTCCAGAACACACAGTAGGAAAATTGTTCTTTACAGACAGTACAGAACACATTTTGTTCTTTCTTCACCTCTCACTTGTCTTTTCTGCATAGGTGAGCAGTGGGTATTGATATGGACAGTGTTTTTTCAGGCTCTTCTCTGCAGTTGCTTGCCAAACTACTTCATGATGCTCAAGAAGATGATGATGATGATGAACATGTGGTGAGTCTGTCATAAGAAATGCTGTTTCTTTTACATGTTGTACCATAGCCTAACCTTGTTAACTGAGGAGAAGCAAATCTGTCTTTTCCCAGAGTGAGTAAAAAGAGAATGAAAAACCTTAGAAGGTTTTGGACTGACTGAAACAGCTAGAAGATACTTTTAGGGTAACAAGCTCTTGAGGGAGAGAATAAGGAAGATGCCCCAGGAAAACAAGAAGAGATTGTGACCACAAAATGGGAGGGAGATTTAATTTTTCAGCCTGAAGGAAATGAGAACATGTAGTTGAAAGAGCTTTAGATACTTTAGACTTCCCCCTACTTTTCCCTGAAGTCCGCCAGAGATGAAGGCAATTACAGCTAAATACTTCATATAAAGGGAGAAAAGTTGCTGCTCAATTTCTGAGTAAAGACTAAAATATCCACAGGCGACTGAGTGTACTAATTTTGTGTGTCAGCCGTTGAAGAACTGTAGAGATAATTGATCACTGAAGTACAATAGATATGTTGGTGATTGTAGAATAGGGAGCGGTGAGTAATCATTCTAAGGTGAATGATCTGAATGATTAATGAGAAATATCTTTCAATTCTTCTATATCAATTCCTCTCAGGAGTAGATGAAAATCATAGCTCTTGGAAAACGTACATTGTTCCTGCAATATGCAACTGCTGCTTTTATGTAGGCATGCATGTGTGCTGGGGAGAAATATCCCAGGAGGGCCACAGGTGCCAACAATCACAACGTAGAAGGCCTCCATGAAGGCTCAAAACTTTGCCAAGTCTCTCAGGATTTTGAACAAGTCAAAAGTTATGATATGGATAACAAAAATGGCAAATGCCTCAGCATTCCTCCAAGTCACTCCTCAACAAAGAGACAGCTGTCTGACCCAGCAGTTGTGCTCTACTAGTGGCAATAGCAATAATATTTTGGATAAAAGGGGTGCATATCCCTTGAAATTTCTTTTCAGTAGGTGGTAGATGTGGTCCTTCACACTCTACCCTTCAGCTGTTTAATGCCTGCCTTTTAAAACTAGCATTATTTGTCTCCATCTTTGCAGTAAACAGCCTGATTTTAAAAAAATTTGTTTACATCTTATTAATAAAATGAATGACACTTCAGAGACAGAAATGGAAAATTGCCACAAGGGATGTCAATTAAGTCTGAGTCAATCTGGGTAAATTGAAATCTTTATTTTGATTTAATTTAATGTTCTGTGCATATGAGGCACTTTTATCAAACCAAGGAATCTTCATGTATAGAGAAATGCCTCACATTGGCCTATTAGCACTAAATTGTTTCATAATTAGAGGAAAATGTTGTTGCCTCATATGATCTCTACTGTCAAAAGGAATCCAAATGCTGTGATGGGGTTTTCATGTAGCACCTTTGGTTTCCTGCAATATTTTCATGGCAGGCAAAGCATGGAAATTTTGCCAAAATACCATGGAAACTAATACTCAAAAAGCACATCTGTCTGTAATACTGTGCTTCTGGGAGTTCTACTTAAACCCAGTGTGTTGAAGACACTTTCTGCTGGGGGAGAGTGAAGAAGAGAGAATGTTCAGTGGTTTGGTCATGAAATTGTAGGATAATATTTTTAGGATTCTAGCAGGGATTTGCTTGACCTCAGATAACATATTTATTAACATTATTGTTGTTACTGAGCTGGGCTCTATGAAAATTGATTGAATTTCCATTTACCTTTTTTGCAGCCACACTGTTCTGTTAGCACCATGACTCCTGGTAGTATTGGACCAGTAAAGAAAGAGGCCACTGGTAAGGAGTGTTTGTATGTTTTAGCATTCAGTCCCATGTTAGCAGACTATAACAGCTGTAGTAAGTTACTACTGATAGGGTTTGCTTCAATAAGAGAGTGGTCACTGACCTTTGAGATGGAAATAGCACTACATTTTTACAATTCCACTGTAAAATTCTTTGTTTCCTGAAAGCTTAACTGTGAAATATACAAAGAGAAGCAGAAAGGGTAACTCCAGAGCACAGCAGCCTCAAGTGGTGATGATAAACAGAGTACAGAGCACAGCCTGGTCATGGGCTAAGGGGCATCATAACTGAGCAGCAAAAAGCTCTGTATAAGTACGCTCATGGAATTGTTAATGCTCACTTAGAGCAAACAAGGAAGATGGGCTTCTAAGTACTCACCTGAAAGTATCTTCGTGGAGTAAACTGCATAGAACTGAGCCTATGCCTATAAGGAAGAAGAGCTATAACATGTACCGTGAAACACAGTCATACCATATTCCCCCCAAAAGTTTCACATTTAGACCACACATGGGAGAAAATAGAAGCTTTGTTCAGTGCTGCCCTCAACTGACCGAGAGATGTTTTTCAGTTATTCTCCTTCCTGCACATAGTTCTTTGCCTGGAAACCACGGACAGTTACGTGCTTCATCTGACTCCAGGTGTTCTGGCATTGTATAAAAAGGCAGACTTTCAGACAATGAGAACAGATATCTTGAAGGTTCCTAAATTTGTGTCAACACCTTGGATTGTACTCAGGAAAGAAAGGAAGACAAGTTTAGTCTTGGCAAAGTCGATGTAAAGTTCTTCCTGGAGCTAATGCTGTCACATTATTGGGCAGCTTAGTTATGAGTCATAAGAAAGATCAACAAGGACCAGGATGACTGTAGCAGGAAAGGAACTGTGGCAAATATAACAAATATAGTATTTTTGCTTGGGATTCCAACAATAGCCAGAGATTCTACTATAACAACCTTCAAGTTACAGCTTTACCACCTTACTAGAAAATATATTTTTTCCATGTAGGACAGGAATAAACCATAGTATTCTGCCCGTGAACTTTCATGTGTCTTCAGTACATTATCTGGGCTGTGCTCAATAATTAATGGGAAGAACTGGATTTCTGTGTGAGGAGGAGGTCCTTTTGTAAATGACTCTGCTCACTTAAAAATCTCATGTCAGGGGGCTTGGAGAAGATTAATATTTCATACTTCTACACTTTATCCATTTTGAAGTGCTAGATTTTTTTATGCCTGAAAGGGGGATTTCCTTGACATAGAGTTTTGGTAAAGGAGATTTAAGGGAAAAGAAAACATCCTCCCTCTGCAAATTCTCATTCATAAGATACTGAGGTGAAGGAGACTGTAATCATTAACTAGAATACTTTTAATACAAAGATTTTTCTAAAGCCTAGAAAAAATCTAAGTTTTCAACAAACCTAGAGGAACAGATACATTCCAAAATATGACAATGTGATTTTTCTCATCACTTACAGGTACTTTTCAAGTGAAATCTGAAAACAGGAAAACTATTTGGAGTGCAGAGGAGGTCCCAGAAGGATCTGAATTTGATGATACCTGGGACCCTAGAGAACAGCCAGAGTAAGTGAGCTGAGACTGTCTGCATGGGCTTTTGTTGTGGTTTAACCCAAGCTGGCCACTAAGCCCCACACAGCTGCTTGCTTACTCCTTCACAGGGGGATGGGGGAGAGAATCAGAAGGGTAAAAGTGAGGAAACTTGTGGGTTGAGATAAAGACAGTCCAATAAGTAAAGAAAAAGCCACACGTGCAAGCAAAGCAAAACAACAAATTCATTCCCCATTTCCCATTGGCAGGCAGGTGTTCAGCCATCTACAGGAAATCATGGCTCCACTACAAGTAATGGTTACTTGGGAAGACAAAATGCTGTAACTCTGAATGTCCCCTCCTTCTTCCCCCAGCTTTATATGCTGAGCATGATGTCATATGGTATGGAATATCCCTTTGGTCAGTTGGGGTCAGCTGTCCCAGCTGTGTCCCCTCCCAACTTCTTGTGCACCCCCAGCCTACTTACTGGTGGGGTGGGGTGAGAAGTGGAAAAGGCCTTGACTCTGTGTAAGCACTGCTCAGCAATAACTAAAACATCCCTGAATTATCAACACTGTTCTCAGCACAAATCCAAAATGTAGCCCCATACTAGCTACTGTGAAGAAAATTAAGTCTACCCCAGCCAAAACCAGCACAGCTTTACATAGCATTAATGGAAATATGAGTTAAACAGCATCTACTGCATTTGAGTGAAACAGCCATCTGAAAAGCTTGTGTCATGGAAGGAGAAAGGAGGGATATTGGTGTTGCATCTAAAGGAACACCAGAGGAGTGATTTTAACCTCTCCCTTGGAAACCTTCTGATCTCATAACAGAAACGTAGAGTTGGTTTTTCCCATCGTAAGATTACTTGCAGTGTCAGGTACTTGTATAAAGTGGGATTAGGAAAGGAATTAGGCCAGCCAAATGATTTACTAGCTTTCAAATATGCCATTTGTGTGAAATACCTGTCTTTTCCTGCTGCAACCGAGATGCATTCGTTTTTCATGCTCATAAATTCATAAAGTACTCCAACTTATATTTGCATTTCAAAGAATTAAGGTCTTTAGAGACAAATAGTGCTACAAGAAGAAAGGCTATATGCAGGCAGTTCTGAACTTTTAGGTTTTGTCATGCAATCTTACATTGTCAAGGAACAGCCTAAAACCAGAGTCTTTTCCCTTGCTCATAGAAAAACAATAACAAAAACGTTCTTGAAATAGATGCAATCAGGCATGTTAGTTGTAGTTTGCAGAAGTCAGAAAGCCTTCAGGGTGAATCCACAAAGCAGCCTTTGCATTTCTAATCATTGTGTTCTGATGCCATATCCTGGAGTGCTGGAGCACATGGACTGAAGCCCGTGAAGCTGCACATTGTATGCTAGTTTGTAGTCCAGAATCCTCATTTTTCTCCACGCGTAAGTCGTGCCATGAGGTGTTCAATTTCCTGATCTAAACACAGGACTGAGATTCACCTGAACTTAGAGTCAGCCTTTCTGAATTTGACATTCACCTATAGCCTCACATACAGTTGTACACTTGTTCTTGAAACCATCGCCTGTGAGGTATAGAACATGCTCTCTTTGTATTGTGGGCACAACAGAAGCTTTTCTCATGCCATTTTTTGACCCTTCCTCTCCCTGCTGGGTAAAATGTGGTGCTTTTCTAGTCTCAAGCAATTATGACCTGTGTTGCACAGATGAAAAGAGAGTATAAGTCTTTGTAATAGTTCATCAAATTGAATCAAGGAAAATGGCCCAAAAGGAAAACAGATGGCTAGAGAGGTGCATCCAGAGCTATTAGACAGATTTCTCATTGACTTAGGAATTATTACATATGCATATGAACACTGGAGATGTGAAAAAGACTTTCCATACACTCTTTCCAACAGCTTAGAGAAGTGACTCACTCCACTTATTTTGCTCAATTTAGTAGGAGTAACGTATGTTCTAAATACAAATTTCGTTTGTATTTCCTCACTCATTAAGTATCAAGAGTAAGGGAGTACGTGATTCTACATTTTGTAGATGTGGAGGGGTAGAAAATAAATGTTGGCCAAATGCAAAACAATTACAATCTGACAAAAGACTGTTATGCTCAGGCTGCAAGAATATGTTGAAAGACAGAACAGAACACATATAATTGCAACAGCATCCTTTTGAAATCTGTTTCCCAAGAGTTTGTGGTATTTAACTAGTTGATAAGTATCATATTCAGTTAGGATACATTTCCTGATCCTGCAAAGGCTGGTTAGTGGAGGCAGCAAAGTGAGTGCCTTGGAAGGTGGAGTGAATGATCTTCACCTGTCTTCTAGCTAACTGAGTCATGGCTCTGAACAGAAACCCAGTGCAGATGGGTTGAAGCCTTGAAAAGGAGGAGAGACCATGCGATGACGATATTTACGGTCCTCTGAGAAATACCATCTCCTTTAGTCTCTTGCCCCTTCTCCAGTATTATTAGGCAACTATTTCTCTTTCTCAGGTATCAGATTTTATTCAAACAGTGTGTGGGAACAGAGGATGTCTTCTTTGGGATGAGCAGGAAAGACCCCTCCACAGCCTGCTGTGAAGATGTAGTGGTGAGCTGAACCTGTATCTCCCATCCCTTCTTTGTGCCCTTTCTCTGCCTTTTTCAATCTTGCCACCTTCTTGAGGGACAGGATGTAAACACCAAGCTGTATTGCTGCCTTTGGCCTCCTGTAGGATTTTCTTGTAGTTCTTCAAGCATTTGTAGATAATATTTACACTTGCTAACCTGAGGAACTCATGTATGTCTTCTCAAGGTCCTAGTGTACCCAGGAGAATCTGTGCAAATGCATATGCCACATACAGACTTGGGGAAAATAGAAAGTAGCTCTAAGATGAAGTCTCATCTTGGACACAGCTTTGGAGGGGAGAGGGGCTGGGAAGGAGATAGTTTTCATCTGCCTGCATTTATTACAAGGTATACAAGTTAGCATAATGCTACAATACTGACAGTCTTTAAAGTTGCAGGTATCAGATCCTGTCCCATTATTATACGATGAAAGACTTCCCTGCTTTCTGAACTTCAGGACAGGTAGAACTGCTGTGCAGTTTTTGTATTAGAAAAAAGCTGTCCTTGGAATACACAAAGCCAGGGGGTTTTGGTGAATGTAGAATACATGTCAAGTACATTATTAGCTCAGGATTTTGAAGAAAATAGGATATCAATACACATCACTAAGCTATTGAAAGCAATGGTTTTCACTATCATATTTTCTCTGATACAAATTACCTATTTGGAATGTTGCTCTTTGACACTAGCATCAAAATATTCATGAAGATGAGATCTTTTATGGCTTGTAGGGCTACATATCTAACCACAGCTTTACCTTTACCCATCATTTCAGATTAAAATCAAGCTACCAGAGACAAAGTACTCAGACATCACATTAGATATCCAGGACAAGGTTCTTGACCTTCGAACTCCCAAAAAGTAAGTGAAACACAATTGATAGAAGTACAGTTAATATCTTGGTTGAAAGGAGGTTTAACCAAGCCTTCAAATGAATGCTGTGTGGAAAGCAAAACTAAAGATGAAGATTGGATTATTAATTGCACATGAAAAATGGATATGGACTAAAACAACCATAGTCCTTCCATAGGTTTATAGTGTGCTAACTTTAAATCTGTGATACTGTTCTAGCAAAAATAGCTTTAAGACAGATTTTGGCTACTTAAGCAGCAAGGCTTCAAGGGCCCAAAATGTCCGGCAAAAAACTGCCCACGGTCCTGAAGGACTTCTTGCAAGTTTGCTTTCTAAATACTGATTTGTACAAATATATAACTGAAGACGGTCCAAGATGTGCAGATACATTTTCAGAAGTTGAAAGACAAATTGTGGACATATCCAGGCATGGATGCAGGGATGAAAATGTTGCAAGTTTTCCCTGAAGAGATTTCCTTTGAGTTCTTTTTTTAATAGGGCTATTTCAAACCTACAAAGATAATCAACTGACTGATGTACTCTCAGACTTCTCAGTCTTCCTCCATTTTTCCCACAGTGTGCAATTACCCTGCCTGAGATTTCCAGATAATTCCCTTGTCTGTTTTGCTTTAAGTCCTTCTTCACAATAGAGTGCTTTCATAAGAAAGCTTAATCCTCTCTGGGCTGACTTGTTGCATTGAATGGGTTGTGGGAAGATCATATATGAATAGCTTTCTGCAAATAAATTCAAGGTGCAGGACATGGATTAAGGCCCAAATAAGTTCTGTCCCTAGTGGACTAACTATAGAAAAGCCACCTTTCTCATAGACAAAACCAGGCTGAGTTGGTTACCCACTGCTTTGACTCAACCCAAAGATGCAACAGGAGTGGAAGAATATTTGGAAGTGCTAGCTCTGAAACTGGAAAATCAGGAGGAATAATTGTTCAGCTAATGACTTGCAGAACCTATAGGTAGTAAAAGAGGTAGCTTCATGTAATACTGCAGATGTAGGAAAACTTCAGCATCCTTTTTCTTTTGCAATTCTATCTTTTTGGTGACTCAGATCTGCCATTATCTTCTTAGTATCCAGCTGTCTCTAGTCACAAGCCTAGCAAATAAAAAGTTTGCCATAAATCTAATGGTTGCTTGGGTACAGCCTGAGCCAGTGCTGCTTTCACAAATATAAGTACAAGTCTTCTCCATATGAAAGAAACAAACAAGGTTTGAAGTTCTACATACTGAAAAACTCCATACTCTCATAGATGTGTAGGATGCCTCAAAGGAATTGTTTCCAACTCTGTAGTCCTGGGACTGATTCTAAGCCAAGCTGATTTTAACAACTTCTCCAAATTACAGCAAATGGCTGCCTTCAGTAGGTGTGGTGCAAAGGTGTTTTGACTGTACCTCTTTCAGCCATGGCTCCTACGAGACAGCTGAAAAGGTCTGAAAAAGAATCAGCATGACTTAATTGCCAATTTAAAGTGACCACCATCTATGCTACCATGTTGTCTTGTTAGGCTTTACAGTGTTTGGCTGGGCAGATCTGTTGATTCTAAAGTGTCCTTGGTTCTGTTTGCACTGTGAATAGAGTGGAGGTCCAAGACTGGCCCATCATTTATATTGTTAATATATAAGCCTGGGATGAGAGGGGAAAGAGTCCGGGTTTTGCATGAGCAAATGAGTTTGAACTGTTGTCAGTGAGAAGAGTTGAATGGGTCCAGACTTGAGACATCCTCGTGAGGAGATAAACTGGAAGGCTTGTCAGCCATTCCAGGAAAAGCTGTATGTCTAACATAGCAAGGGACTGTAGAATAGTTCCTGAGCCCAAGGTCCAGCCTTTTTTTGTGTATTATGTGCCTGAGCCTCAGGTGGGGGATCACTGAATTAATCTTCAATGTAGGTTAAAATCCCAGCAACTTTATAACTGTAAGTCCATTCTCATACCTGAACTGTGCTTTGCAGTGTAGACAAACCCTTTGTGAAACTGTACTGGCCAGAATCTGTAATCAGGCTGTACCACTTCTTTGTTTTTACTAGAGAAGACAGACTCCTGAAGACACTTTCAGGCTTTAGGCATTATTCAGATTTTTACCACCAGGAGAGCATTATCAGTGCAGCTCCTCCTTCCTCTGCATTTAAAATGCAGCACTGTGCAAAAGCAAGAACAGTGGAGAGAGCTCACAATCCATCATTGGAAACCGTTGTCATAGCCACAGCCAAAAGAAAGGAATAGCGTTGGAAATATTTCAGGGCCTGTATAGCAGTGCACCTGGTATTGTAGGAACCCCACAACCTGTCATGAGAACAAGATATACTGAAAGAACATGCCTTGGTATACTGACTGGCAAATTGCAAGAGTAACTTGCAATGCCATCTCAATTGCTCACCCAGTCTGAGACACTGAAATTCACTGTATCCTCTTTTACAGGAAGCTGCTGCTGCACCTCCCCTACCATGTAGACAGCAAGAACGGTAAAGCTCGTTTCCTCTCTGAAGAGGAGACCTTGGAAGTTACCTTGAGAGTATCAAGGAAGTTTGATTTCATAAATTTTGTCTGATGGATAGAGAAATAGAGAAAGTTTGCAAAAAGTAATCTCTTAGTTTGAAGTCTTCTCGAAACCTAACTGGTCATGAAATAGTAGATTGTTTCCCTGGAACAGCCCAAGGGGAATATCCTTGGAGAAACTGAATGAGTCAGGAGGAACGTAGCACCCATAGGTTCTTAAAGCTGAGGCTGTCCAGTTCTTGCACTGCTCTGGTTAACGTTCTGCTTCCTTCAGTCTGATACAGGCTCTGTGAATCAGAAAATAGGAGATTACAGTTCTGTAAGCCAGAGAAAGTCTTTTTGTGGTTATGGCTGATAAGTAGCACAATGAGGCTCTGGTCAATGAGTCTGGTGCTTACTTACTGTTGCAAGACTTGCAAGTGCTAATATTCTTGCTTGGCCTCCATTGCTGTGACTGGGACAAGTTCAGAATCTCCTCTTAGCTACTTCTTGATGAGATCAAAGCTCTTCAGGGATCCATATCCACATCTGAGGCTCCTTTACACTGGCAGAACAAGGTAACCAGCTATAGTTGGATTGTTGAACAATTTTTGACAATGTGTTGGTTCAGTGTCATCTATTCACCTGCTGTACCTCCAGCTTTTTCTGATCTTTCTTGATTAATAAAACAATGCATTCTAATGAACAGCTCCAGTTACCTTTCACTCTACGTTCTCTATATTATGTCCCAAGAGACTTCCTAAAAGTGAGATAAGAGGGACTTTGCATAACAAAGCACCACTTAAAGGGCTGAAATGGGCACAAGCTTTTCTTTGGCCTTCAGGTCCCGTCTAGAGCTACAGAGATGGGTAACCAAGATGTTTCTCTTACTAGCTGCTGGACTAAGATACTCATTTAATGTTGTTAATCATGCAGGAAACAAAGGTATTTGCTCAATAATCAAAGTGGAGAGGACAAGCAGGGCCTTGCATGTTGATGGACTTTAGGTACACTTAATCAAAAGCTTGTAAGCACTTTAAAACAAAATGGCTTGGTTCCTGCATTCATCTGGCGTAGAAGTAGAGGAAAATAAATGACCAGCTAGGTTGCAGATAGCACCCATGTAGCTAAATTTCTGGCAGGCTGTAATAAGGATCCTCCGTGATGGATTGAAGACACTGACGGTGAGTTTCTAGGTATATTTTTTTGGTTTGTCAGGAATTTTCAGAATTCACAGTATGTTTGTAATATACTGCATTGTAACTCTAGGACAAATTAAGCTGGTGTCTGGACATTTCAACCACTTCCCATAGAAGTGGACCCATTGCTTGGGTCAGAGTAATACTACCCAACCTCTGATTTAGTGTTAATGCACTGGAAAGCAGATACCTCAGTTATGATTCACCACAAGCTATTGAATATGCTGATAACACTAAGGGGCTACTCCAATTTGTATTTGCTTAAGTTTCCATAAATTGCATTTGAGTGTCTCTTACTCCTACTCTACAAAGTTGTGGTGGAGGGGAACAATGCAGATGTATGAAAAGGCTGAGATCATTCCTCCTGACTCAGTTTGTACTGCCTGTGGTTGCCAAGAAGTTACAGTAAGGCTGTTTCCTGGAAAAAGATTGTTTTTGAGGTCCCTAGATAATATGCTGCTTCATTTTTGCATTTCTTATACAGATTACAAGAAAAGTGGAAGATTGACCTGTATTTATACACATGAAGGTAACATTTGCCAAAATTCATTCAGTAAATCCATGGCAAAGAAGAGTATAACTCTGCTCTTCTGAGCCCCATTCCAGTGCTCTATCCACAATGTAATGTTGCCTTTACAGTTGGCAGTAGTAATTTCCTAAGCCTTAAATCACCAAGTTCAGCTTAATTTAGCGTCAATGCTTGATACTGAAAACGACAATGAGTTTGGCTCATTGTCCCTCTCTCCAGTGTTTTAGTTTCCTATGGAAATGAGCATATGCCACACTGATACCCATGTCCTATTTTCTCCCCAAATATTTTTTAACTTGGGTGGCATTTTATGTGCATTCAAGAGACAAAAATCTAAGGTAAGTATGTTTTATAAGAAAGTTGGCTGTGGAATAGAGAAGGGAAATACAAATTAGCACTGCCTAAGGGGGAAGTTCTAGTGTGACTTCTTGTACCTGCTGGCCAGTCACTCTATACACCCATAGTCCAGGCTACAGTAGGTCATCCACACCACTCCACGAGGGGGGGAAGCTGGCAAGTTGGTGACATAGCAGAATAGGGAAGGCATTGCAGGGAAAAGGATATATGCTGGCAGGAGGAAGCTGAAATCACAGTGTCAGGGTATATGAACACAGAGGACAAACTCATAAGAAGCCAGGCTTCGTATTTTCCACTGCTCAAAATCACAAGCTCTACTGCTGTTTTCAACAGAGTAGAAACATTGGTCCGGTGGTGGGCAATTTGCTGTTCTGATTGCATCTATTGCCTAAATATACCATCACCACTTGGAGATCCTCTCACATTCTTACTTTCTTCCTATCAAGGAGACACAGGCTGCCCTAGGCAAAAGGTTGGTTTGGGGTTTTTTTTTTCCATAGATCATCCCAAGAGGAAAATGGTCAAAAGGACATGCAGGCTGCCAAGCTTCCCAGAAATCTGGGGGCTACTGCCAGCTACAAGAGAGTTAACTTTTTTGCAGGGGCTTGAAGGCAGCTTTGCTTTGCTGAACTAGCACTGGCAGAAATCCTTTTGAAGGGGATACAAACCCCCCTTTGCCTCTGAACATCAAAGCTGTTGCCTAAGTACCACTCCAACACCTGCAGGCATCTTAATTAATCAAAATTATGAGCCCGGTTAAACAACCCAGCCATAAGCCCCAGCCATTAAGCATCATCAACTTTATTTGGTTCCCTAAGAAACATCTTGATTAAATGTATTGCAGTTAAGTAGGGGGTACTGTAGCTGTGGAAACGAGATAGAAGATGTTTACAGTAGTATCCCAATAAACTGCAGGTTGTCATCTCACCTTGTTCATGCATTCTGTCCTCCAGTTGTGGTGGCAGAGCCACCATTCCCATTTTGACTTGTTCCTGCCTTCTGTCAGAACTATGGTGTTGTGCTAAAGAACACAGCCTAGCTTGCTCTGTGTCTCACCTCTCTTCATATTCCCCTTTGTCTGCATACTGACCTTCTGAGGCAAAGATATTGTCCTCATTCTACAGCCTGAGAAAGAAAAAACCCAGAAGAGTTGCTCCATATAAACACCCAAGACAGAACAAAAACTTATTTTTCCTTTAAACCTGCAGTCTAGCTTCTGGGCTGCTTTCATTCCCATCTTCCTCCAGGTCTATTGTTGGTATCATCATATACCCCTTTTATTTGTTTTAAAAGGAAAACTAATTCATTTTTCTGCTGTTCAGTATAAGGTTTGCATCCAAAATTTCTATGTACTTCTTTCATTGTGTGAAACGCTGCTTTATTGGCATCTGCTTCCCTCTAGATAAAGTTTATCTAAAACAACTAAGCAGTATCTATGTGTACAGAAAGATCTCTCCCCTACAGCCTGCAGAGTAAGTAAGGAGACAAGACTGGTATTGCTTCTGTCTTTCTCAACTAACCTTGGGCCCCAGGGATCAGTGCATGAGACTGGGCTCCTGTGAGCAAAACAGAGCTCTGCAGCATCCCTTGCAGGCTGCGGTGCACACTGACACTCAGAGGAGTGTGAATACACAAAGGAAACTCTCAGTGAAGTAACCTCTCTCCCCAAGGCCTTCCAGATTTTCTCATATAGGTAGCAAGTGACTGCTTTTAGCAGTGTCTATTCTGGATGTTTGGCAGCACAGGCTACTGGGTATATAGCAAAACAGACTGATGGGCAAGGGCACGCACCAATGCCAACCATGCAGGCAGTGCCTCGAATATGTGCAGCAGGCTCACTGCGTGCTCACATATCCATGGCTTGTGCACCTCCTCATGCTGGAGTGGGTGCCTTTGAACCTGCTGGTGTTGGCAGACCTTTACCCTCTTCTCTGCAGCACCTGCAGCTTGGATTCATCCTTATTATCTGGGATTGCTTCAGGAGCTGCTGCCACCACAGACAGTCAGTCACTGTTGTCTGCCTATGGTCTTGGTTCCAGGGAAGGTGCCTGGAATCTGCTAGGGGTTGGGATATTTATTTCTTATAATCTTCACAAACAGGAGACAGTTTCTGTCTTTGTGTATCTCTTCACTCTCTTTGTCTTCTCCTTCACGTAGATTTTACTTTCAGATTGTGATGCAGAACAGCCAGTCCCTGTTTTTCCTTTTCCCTCCCAATTGTTTGTTCTGTGCTGGTTTCAAATGATTCTGATCTCTTCTCTCCTTTCCTAAGTGCTTTATCTCACTTCCCTTGGTCATTCTTACATTAGGACATTTCTCACCAGTCTCCTCACAGGTTGCAGCTGACATATCTGACCCTTGCTGGATGTGCCAAATGTTGAAGTGTGTGATTCATCTCCCCTCACTCAGCTTAATGCCAGTGAAGCACTTTGTTCTTCCTTGCAATGTGTCCAATCTGCATGCATGGAGAGGGGAAACAAGCAGGAGCACCACAGGCAGAACCTGGATCGTGTTAAGGCAGTTATATTGAAGGACCACATCATAAAATCAGAAGATGGTGCAGGTCAAGGCAGAGCTGTGTAAGGAGTGTTGACAGAATTGAGGAGGGGCCTCTTGGCATGAGCACAACCTGCTTGAGCCTATGCTTCAAACGTAGCCAGCCCCACAGCTCCTTGGTGCAAATAGGGCTGGTGATGAAGGAATGAGCCAATTCAGAAAAAGTCAGAATCATTCAGAATTTCAGCCTTTCCCAAGGCCTGAAAAGTTTCTTTCTGCTTCCCCATGTGTGTCTCTGGGTCCCAGATGAGTACTTAAGTTTTTGAAATCCTGTCCAGGGCAACAGTGACACAGACAACACAGGAGTGCCTTTAGTTTTGGAGTATTTCTCTCAATCCATTGAAATCTTTGACCGCTTTGGGCTTACTTATCTCAAGGTCTCCTTTTCATCTCTTTTCTCTGTCTTCACACACTCATTTCTGAAGAGAAGATCATAGGAAGTTGCCAGCATGGTAGCAGATACTGTCCACATACAATCCTTAGAGACCATCTCACTTTAATTGTGAGCCTCCTTTGTGGATCCCAGCAGCTCACTTCAGATGCTGATCAGCATTTTTTTTAATCCACACCGTTTTAAATTGGTGGTATCACAACCCAGCAAAGACTGCCCAGGAAGCTAGATTGTATTTACCTAAACAATTCTATGATTCTATTTGGCAACCTATCTCCTGCAGTTTCTTAGCAGAGAAGAAAAGAACCATAGACCTCTCCTGGAAATTGTTTTCCTCTTGGAAAGCTGCATAAAAAGGAAGAGGAAAGGAATGGAGATG